AAACCCAGAACCCCTATTTTATGTCACTTCCTGCCCGTTTTTACTGTTACATTTCCATTAATTCCCTGTGTGATGTTTGCTTCTTCTTTCCGGAGGCTGAAAAATACATGACAAGAAAATCTGGCTGACAAGCCATACGCTTTGCCGGTCAAATATTGTTCCCTGAATAAGCAAACATATCACACGCTAAGCATTTGAGTGAAATTGACTCCTGACATACATTGTATGAGCCGTGTTTGCCTTGATCTAAATCCATCATAGGCAGCTGAAACAATACTCCTATGTAGCCAGTGCTCTTCTCTCTTATCTTCTGACAACATGAACCTCTACGTTTTTTTCTTTCTCCATCTGAAGCAATTCCTGTCCTTCAGTCATCTTGCTAGGCAATTTCCTTGGATGTCCTTATGTGTCTTGACCTTCCAGTTGACAAGGTTGTTTTTAACTTTTTTTTCTCTACAACTGCAGTCATTTAGGTCATGCATCAGTCATTTGCTGAGATGTAAGAACTGATCGATCGGCTCCAAGTATCCCTCAATGGTGCGAAAGGGAGAGTTGGGGGTGACTACTTAGACCGGAGAGACATTGGGCATTGCCGACGACGCCTGATGCTCACGCAAAGATGTTATAGCTTTGTGTACATTCAGAATAGAATTAGTCACGCGTACTTCGCACCATACGCCCGTGAACCATTATGCATACATAGTGTGCGTCATCCCCCCCAACCCACCCCCCTTCCCGGAGCTCTCAAAAGTGGTCATAAAGTGGCCTCTCTTGTTCGCGCACGTAGCCCTTGCAACACTGTATCACTAGTGTTCAACAGAGCTATCCAGCAAAATTGTTTAAATAATTTTTGGATGTGATTTTTGAGAGGGAGGGGATGTGAGGTTTTATGTTGGCCAATGCTAAAATCACATGCTGTAATCCCATGTTGACAAAAAAGTCAAAAGCAGAACTGTTACAGTGTGAAAGACATTTTGTGGTGCTCAAAGTTTAACTCAAGTGTTGGGCAACAATTCACTTTTCCATCAGTGACGTTAGAGTGTGGACAAGACTTACAGCAAGAGAGAAAAAAGATATTAATTGATGGCATGAACGTAGATGTCTTCATTTTTTTCTTCAGATTTCCCACGTCACAGGTTTGCTGAGTCCAGTGCGTCGATGAGTTTACTCTCGGATGTCCAGCTAGACGAGATTGGCGACACCTTCATCACTTCACGGTCTAATACCCCGGCACAAACACCGCCCCACACGCGCATTGTGATTAACGGGGTATTGATCTGCGCACAGAGCGACGCTCGATGGAGTCGGCTTTTGCTCGGAGAGAGTGACATCTGGCGTTATTAGCGGGAGGAAGGGGGGGGGGGGGAAAGAAGGGGGGTTGGGGTTGAGGGAGGGGTGACCTGACTCGAGCATATAGTAGGTCAAAGCGTGGATGGACGCAGATGTTTTGCAGGCTTGGCGCTGCCGTTTGACAGAGGTCAGTGCTTAGATTGTGGGACAGAGAGGGCCAAGAAATCGATGGCCGACCGACCTCTCATTCACTTGGCAAAGAAATTGAGACGCACGTGTAATACAGGCCCTTCGCTCTAAACAAAAACACACACCAATTGCTTAATTCTGCTTTGACTCCCTTAAAGCATGCCAAGTTGTCAACCATAACATGAAGCAGCATTTTCAACTGTTTCAGTTTCTGTCATATTTTACATAACCTGTGGTAAACACGTATCGTGTTAATAGGACGAAATTTACTAGATAATTGTTCATGCTATTAACTGAAGCCAGGACATTTACTAAGTTGTCGTTGAACAAAATTAATCCCCCCCCCCAAAAAATATTGTTCACTCCCTAATGCATCCTAATTTGAAATTTTAATATTTAAAATCAAACTCTCTTTCTATCCTCCCAAAACCACATGTTCTTAAGTTGTTCACTGCAGCAACATTACTTCAGCTCTCAAATATATTTAACACAATTTTATACCGGCACACATAATCATTAACTTTTAAGCTAGTAAAAATATTACTATGAGACCGAGTTCCATCCATCATACAGTAAAAGCTCATCCTTACTCTTCGGCATATACCTTTGCCAAGAATGACAATCGCTATCCTTTCGGCCTCGAGTTAAAAATATAGTATGAAAATTCTATCCATCATTTATTCTGAGTGCCCAAGCCTACTCGTGCCCGACTTTTGCTAGAAGATGTAATTGATGTCTGACTTGGCATATTTTCTTTTTCCCTGTTTCCAAAAAGAAGATGGAATTCTACCGATTGAAATGCGTGTCAAGTGCACTGATCTTCAAGTAACCCCCCGCCCCTCCACCCCACCAAACCTCGGGGTAGAAGATTTATCATCTCGTGGCCTGGCGCAAAGGATTTATTACGATCTGTCCAGCAAAGCAGGCATGACCAAAATGTAAAAGAATCGTGGCGAAACGTCCAATGATAACATGATAAAAGGGAACAGGGAAAAACCAAGTGCTTCGATCTTTTAAGACGATAAAAATGTCTTGCCAGGAGCTAGGGATTGGAAGAACCAAAATGCTGAAGAGGATTTCACTTTAAAACTCTACTTGACTTTTGCAATTTTTTATTGGAAGGCCCGTTCGGTTTACATCTACTAGCTCTGTTCTCTACCCCCAGGTTGCCAAGGTGAGAACAGAAAGGTCAGAAGGCATTCTAGAAAGGCCTTTCCAATTTTCGAGAGCTTGAGGGGCATAAACCTGCATCACATTTTGGAATGCACAAAGTGTCTACTAAGGGGACACATGGGGAGGTGGGGGGGGGGGGAATGTCCCCCTCCCCCCAAATAAGTTTTAGGTGGGGGACGCCAATGGTGATGCCCCCCCTCCCCCACAATAATTATCCCAGTACATATAGGTTTTATCCCAACAAACCAACATTTTTACTTTTTTCCCCCACAAAGTTTTTTGCTGTATAATATTGCTTGTTCACCATCCTTATCAAGAAAATTACATTATGACAAAAAAAATGTGTGTAATTGCGCATGGGTGTACGTGTTCATCTTTTCAAACCGTGGACGAAAAATACCAGAGAACAAAAGAGAACAATATCGTCCACGATTCCCAGCATACGTCTGCGATTGGGGTCGTGTACAAAACCTATGGGAATCTTCCTAAACAGTTAAAGTACAAACAAAAGAGGGACAATAGGACGTCCACGATCGACGTTGAACACACGTTTGTGTGTGTGGGTAGGCCGTCACCACGTAACTTTTTTATTGTTAGGCAAATTAGGACCGAGTTATGGGGATTTTCTGCTGTCCCCATAACGTCCTCGGTCCCCATAGTACCATGGGACAACTCGTGTGTAGTCCCCACAACTACGGAACAAGTATGAGTGTACACACATACATCCATGTGCATACATACATCTTTGAACAGCGCTCTCTATGGTCAGATAGTGTCCAGTCCCCTGTTCTCACCCCTCCCCCCCCCCCTAATGTTCCAAAACAATCGCCACCACTGTCCAAATGGTTACAGACAGAGAGTTAGGCGGAACTCTTGAATGCATTGCGCCATACACCTGGTGCTCATGTGAAGAAGCAACAGGTTTGTGCACATTTACAATAACATTGATGTATGCACTCTGCACTAACCATACCTGCGTGAATCAGTGCAAAAAGTGGCCAAGTAGCACAATCTAAAAGTTCATTCAAGTCGTCCATACATGTCTCCTACAGCATTTCCCACAACAAACGGCCAGGATCCAAGTTTGTCTTCAACAATATCCAGAGAGGTATATATTTTGTTATTTGCTCTGTTGCAACCAGGTTTTTAATATCCGAAAATTAATGAGAAGACCAAAGTTCAGCCACACGTCGTGATGTGCCAATAACTGATCAGATATATCCCAGCACTCCCTGATGAGATGGCGATTACAAAAAGGCAGTCCTCGCAGGCAAGTTTTCAACCACAAAAATATCAAAATTTGTACGGGACCGGAAAAAGAGGAATGACTTCCGAGAGCAATTTCACTGCGGCGTTGCAGCCACCGAGTTTAATAAAAACGTGCTGGGCTAGACAAACAACGAAGGTGATTAGTTACAAAAGACGTGCCGACGTGTTTTTCTGAGATTAGTGCTGTGCCAGGGTATGTTGGAGGAGAGATTCCTCTGTTGGTTGCTACAAAGGTGGTTTCACGTTTCGTAGTACAAACATGAAATGTTCCTTATTAAGTGAGATGGTTGGGGAGATATCGGTCAATGTGCAGCACATTCTTATGTAAAACCACTCAGAAAAGTTCCATTGATACAGCACCAGTAAATTACATGGAAAAAACTCTCAATGGGGAAAATATGATCAATAAGATTTCATTTCTAGGAGCAACAGCACGTAAGAAAGTTTTGAAGGATGTTGGGAACTATTCTGGAGTTTCAACAAACTAGATATTACATCTTATGAATAGATATTACACATTTTGTCTGCCATTAATTTAAAGTGTAACTTGCATTTTTCAATTTAAAAAAAAATAGAAATCAGGGCCGTTTTCTAAACCCCGGCTTCAGCTCCGTCTCTGGCTCCATTCATGCACGTTGGCAATGGACCCGGATATGGAGCCGAAGCCGGGGTTTGGAAAACGGCCCAGCTTTACTGAAAAGAGTAGGTTATGTTTATTAGATAAATCAAAGATTTTTTTTAATGATTACTGACAAACAATTCTGAAGATGCTTGTAATGGATTCTATTTTGGGGTAAACAAACTTCTTGGCTGCTGAGTTACTCTTCAATTTTGGCTTATAAGTATACATGCATGACAAGATTTCTTGAGGACTGCAGTAACACTGAATCCTTTAAGAAGCTTATTTGCTTGATGGAAAAAAGGGGGTAAAGTGGCTTGCCCAAGGACACAACATTATGGCCAGCAGCAGGCTTCAAACCCCAAAGCTATTGATAATGAGGCTCAAACCCTAAATATAGGCCACAATCCATACAGTACTGAAAGGGTACCGGCAAGAAAATGACATAAAAATATCTTACCATTCCAGAGATAGATGGTGTGTCGTCTGGCTTGAGTATCAACGCTTCGGTCGTGATGTGGTACTGAAGTGCCTCCATCAGCTGTTCAGCCGTGCAGTTGACTTTGGGGTCAGGGGTCTTGTACCATTCATCCGGGTACCAGCCTATGATCATCCAGACATTCCTGGGTCCGTACAGCTTTTGCTTGTACACCTGGGTTTGGGATGAGTTTGTTTTTTTAATTTCAGGGATGAGTATTGGGAGTCAGGTTAGCGTAGCGGTACTTCCTGGCCTTCCACTACTGTGACCCGGGTTCGAATCCCACCCGGGCCAATATGTGGATTAGGTTTTCAGTTCCTGTCTGATTCCGTGGGTTCCCCAGGATATTCTTCGGGGTTTTCCTCCCACCACTAAGACTGTAATTGCTTCTCATTGTCTCCTCTTTGCAACTTTCTTCGGGCTTGCGAGCTACAGTGCCTAGGGTGCTTTTGAGGAATTCTTGGTTTCATTACCAGAGGTAGTTGAAAAAGGTAGTTTAAATAATACATTTTTCTTTGCTAACCTGCGGTTGGCAAATTATGGATATTCAACGTTGCAACTTGAAAAATAAAGAATAGTTATTAATGTTTCCAGACACATCATTGTATTGTTGAAAATACAAAATAATGGAAAAATCCTACCAGAGACTTAAAAAAATATGACATATTTGGCAAAATCTGTTGCCAACCATGGCTTAAATTTATGCCTTTGTAATTTTGTCTGGGTGGTTTCTGACATCCGTTTTTTAGTCTGGTATCAAGAGTTGCACGGAACCTAATTAGTTCCAAGATTGTTTCAAACAGATTGTTTCAAACAGTTTGAGATGTAGCTATGAAAGATCAACCCTTGCATTTGTTCTGACCGACTTCAGAGTCTAGTCGATGGAAATTAATACGTAAAGTTCACCTGTCTTAAAACCAAAATCTAATTGGGTCAACCCGAGTTGCATGCTTCTAATGCTTTTTTGCTTCAGAAACAGGTGTATAGGTTCAATGGGATATCTTTGCTTGCCTCACAGAAGACCCTGCGAGCCATGTCCTCATAGAAGACCCCGATGATGATGCGGGCGTCTTCCCGTTTCAGGTTCTGGATGGCGTTGTCGGGCTCCGTCAGGAAACTCTGCCGGCTGAAGATCTCCATGCCCGCGTCCTTGACGCGTTTTTCCAAGTCTTCAATAGTCTGCAGATGAAGCAAGAGAGAAATCATGGACTTTGTGCAAGTAAAATGAGTGGCACTGCGGGACGTACTCTTCGCTCGTACCCACCGCCTTATCTAAGGGTGCTGTGACCTCTTATTTCTTATTTCTTATTTCAAGACTTTGTGTTTTGATCCCTCACTTTATTTCAACTTCAAAGTAACATTTTTCAACTTTGAAGTAACGTTACCGTCCAGTGCTACAATCACTCTGGCAAACATAATTCTTGGAAACACATCGGCCGTAATAAAATATAAATAATAATGAAAAAAAAATGAGGAAGAAAACAATGAGGCCGTGAGGAACATTGGCAAACAAACAGGTGACAAAACTAATTAATTGTAAAGGTCAGCCTTGCATCCCTGGCGGCAGAAATAATCAAACATTGATATATATTAATGTGGTCTCCGTTTTGTTATAGTTGTACTGCCTGTTATATTTTTTTTCCCCTGTGATGCGTGAAGAAAGATGCCCCGAGGCGCGGCAAAACCCACTTTCCCCTTCACGCTTCGGCTGCCTCTCTGAAACAATTTTTTTTTTCCTTTTCCGGAGCAGAGATGAAACACATTCGTTGGTATCGACCGATCTCCTTGTAAAATATCATGTTCGGCTGCGGGGTAATTTGAAGGAGGGCGTTGGTGAAGCACAATCCTGACACAAATGTAGGTAATTTGGACCAGACTGATTATTGGAAAACCGCAATTTATATTACATATAGAATTTCAACGAAGGGTGGTGCAAGAAAGTCGGTGTTCAATATTATTTTGGGTAACAAGCTAGCTGATGATGCTATTTATGCACTTTTTCTACAAATATCGTACATCTGCCTCGGAGCTGTACCCACTACTATGGCTCGCTGAAAACCTAAAAAATAAAACCATCAAACTGGGTAAAGTAAATGCAGAACAGCGCCCCAATAGTCAAAACATGCTGAACCACCCCCACCCCTTCCACTTTTTTCAAAGTTGCACTGACAGTGAGATAGCAGCCTATCAGTTCACTTCAGACAGGATTCAACCCTCCTGGATGAAAAGCCACATAGGCATTCTCCATCTCTAAGCTAGTGATTTTAATTTCCTTCTTCGCATCGCAGACACGATGTGCCCTTCCATTGCACTTTTATCTCAGATGAGGTGCGAAACCATGGCCTCTCTCTCTCTCTCATCACGCAAAGCCATCTGCCCCTGGCACACAATAAAAAAAAACCCCAAAATGGCTCTTCCGTCCGATTACTGCGGGATACGCAAGGTTAAATTGGGCAAGACACCTCGGTATTGTGTCCAGCGGAGCCTCGGCTTGGACACTTCGCGTCTGCGACTTGGCTGTGGAATTGAATCAGGGCCAGGGCGCGACAATCGCAAGGTTAGGTGGACTTTTTTCCTTTTGTGAGGATGAACTTGTGACGTGTGCACCTGTTTGCCCCTCGGCAGTGTTAATGCCAAGCATTTCTGTTAGTTTAGACACTTTCCTGGTATCTCTGCTTCTGAATTGATTAATGGGTGGTGAGGACTCATCTCAATGTATATCCGCAATAAATTGAAGCCAAGTTTATCCGCAATAGACGCTTTGCAAATGGAATTAATCGCAGGATTCTAAACAACTTCCCTTCGGCATCCACAGTTATCATTACGGGAAGATTTCTTCAAAGTTGCCAATACTACCTGATACAATAGACTTACTGCAGTTAAACTTGTCTGCAACTTGTCCTGCATAGGACATGACACCTATCTATTCACACATTAGAAAGCGTAGTAAAAGCTTTTAAACTGGTTCCCTTCTCCTTTTAAAACCCAGGGTTATAATGGAAGGACCGGTAACCAGCTGACTTTCACTTAAATTTAAGGCCAAATTCCCTACCAGCTGACTTTCACTTTAACTTTAAGGCCAAATTCCCTACCAGCTACATGTACAGTGATTGCCGATTGAAAACTCGCTTTTCTTAAGGTGGCTCATACTCATCACGAAAGCGAATGTGAATTTATCACTGCAAGCTTTTATGTTGCAAATTCTCAAAAGCTGAACACATTTTGAATTTCACAGCGAAATGTTTTGCGACATCAAATTCGCATCAAAGTATGAACCAACTTTTACTAACCCCTGAAATCACTAACAGCTTTGGGAAAACGGAAATTATTTGCTTTGACATGGTAAAAACAGCCATGAAATTGGCTCAGTTTCTTGCCAACTCTGAATTTGGGAAGCATACATGTACGACCAATACAATTCTGTGACACTCAAATATCGTTAAATATCCCCATTCCTCGCCATTCCTTCCCCCCCCCCCCCCACCCGCAGTTCTCCAGACAAAACAGAGAAGAAAAGAAGGCAAGAAGACCCAACAATACGCTGTACTTCAGGTCAACTAGAGCAGACGAAACGCAGAGCGGAATCGCAGCCAGCTGCAGCAAGTTTCCCCTCGACCTCTTCCTGGTTCCTTTATTGGTGCCCAACCGACCCCGAGAACCCAATACGTGCCAATATCGACGGGCTCGCGCAAGGCGGGGCAAAGCATTGATTCCCTTTCTTACACAACACCTGGCGACCGATTCCGGCCCGGTCAGGCACGCGATGCGTTCGCCCAGCGAACCACTCCGCTAAGCAAAATAGCGAAAAGTTGAAGATAAAAAATCCTTGATTGATTCTTAATCATATTTAACAGCAAACTCACTACATGGTTACCTTATTCTAGAATAACGATAGTTGTTTTTTACCCAATAAAGAGTTTGCTAGAAATTTGAAGGACAAGCGAACTGTTTGATCATTCAATTTGCTGCTAAGCAAATCAACGTTGTCCCTGAATCAAAATTTAAGCAATTAATTAACTCTCCTATCTGTACTGATTAATTGTTTGCTTATGACCTGTGTGCTCAATGGAGAATCTTTAATGGTTAAGTATTTAAACACAAGGGAAACACATCAACATTTAAACAAGTTGTTAAAATAGAGGGGCCTGGCAGTTGAGAGGGGGCCTCGTAGCCGAGCGGTTAGAGCGTGGAGCTACGGAGTGAAAGGTTGGCAGTACCAATCCCATTCGGACCAAAAACTGGAAAACTCTCCCTGACGACCCAACAGTAAAATGGGTACCTGATTCATTCAGGGAAGGTAAGACGGCGAGAGGAGAGGACTGGGCACCGCCACTCATATGCCGCACCCAAGACACAGTGGACCTCTAACATCCCACTGCCCCTACGGACAGTAATGGCTATGGGCACCTTTGCCTTTTACAGAATGATTCAAATGAAAAGGTGAATGTTTACTTTGCAGCTATTTCATGTTTGATTGCTACTTTGCAAAAAAAATTAATAATAAAAATAAAAAACCTTTTGTGCCTGCTTAAGTGATACATATATATATGCATGTATACACTACTCGTATATGCAGTTGTTAATAACTTAATAAAGAAAAACTCTTCAAAAGATCAAAGTCATCCTCACACCACTTATCTTCTTTACAATGTCATTTGACGTAGATGTACAAAAGTATACACATGTATAGTACCAACTGTACAATAGTGAACTTCTTGGACTTAATATCACTCCCCAAAACCCCAATACCTTATGAATCTTACAGGTACAATTAAAAGTTTTACTACAATCGGCAATCTGTCTAATTATCATGTTTTTTTTAAACCACTGCAAACCATTGTGCCTTCCTCTTGTAAATCTAGTTCTGCCTATACATTACAGATTAAAAATTTGTTTGGTGGCTTCATCATGACACCATTCCAAAAAACATGCAGTGGCCTTAACGCTCCAGTGAGCATGCGGCACTGATGCGTCCCATCAATAGGAAACATCACAGTGGCCCGCGAAAAAAAATCCATCATAACTTCAGCGCGACCTCGTTCCGTTGGGGTTGAAGTCAAACACAATGGAGACATGAGGGATAGAGATGAAAAGAAAAAAAAAAGATAAAAAAAGTGGGTCCCGGTCGCCATGGCGTCTGCAACACCTGCACATTTCCCACAGCCGCAGCCAATAGCCTTGCCCCTTGCCGCTTTACCCGGCGATGTCGCCGGCGTCATCTGGGGGCCACCGTGTTTGTTTTTAATCAGTGTCTTTAGCGGCGCAGTGTGGGGGGATGAGCCTGGTTTCTGCTCCGACGGTAATGATCTTCGGCTTCCACAGTTTGCCTCATTACGGCCTATAAACACAAGGAACAACAAACGGCTAAGCTAGCCTGCGTAACACTTAGCACACTTTTCTTTCCCCCTGATTTCCCACTCAGGGAACAGGGCTGCGCCTAAATATCTGCGCGAGGTTATAAACTGGTTGCATAGATTGGCCTGGAAGCTCATTAATCAGGGGACGAAAGCAGCTCTCGTGAGCGATATGACCCTCTTCATAGTTGCTACAAACACTCTGTTCTGGTCAGTTCCGAGCTGATCTCATTTTGTGACTAGAGAGTTGTCGGTAACTGCTCCTTCACTTGGTCTCCTGTACAATATGGCCTAGTTAATTTGACATCCTTTAAAAAAAATCTGTTCAAAAAGTCTATGGAATTTTTGAGAAAATGAATACGAGAGAAAAAATATCAGAACAAAAACTAAGACTTTGTGATTCCGGAATAGCCAAAAATCGTAGTCCCACAAACAGATGTCACACAAGAACATTTATGGACATTCATATAAAAAGATATTTAAAAAAAAAAAAATCCTAAAAGGTTCCCCACTATAAAAAAAAAAAATGAAATATGGAAATCATGGATAGTCTGCAAATTATAAACTTCATATTCAAAGATTTTTTTTTTCAGTTACAGGTAATCAATTAAAAACAAATTAATGAAACAAACTTAAGACAGCCTGACGTTGCAACCTTGACAAGAACTTCAGAGGCAGAGAGAAGTTTGCAGCAGTTTTAGTCATTTTCAATTCAAAAATAAACGACTTCTGTACACATGTGTACCACAAACCAATTCAACCACCCCCCCCCAAAATAATATTTTCGACCCTTTTTTCATGGGTTTATTTTTGATTTGGTGAGCATTTGAAGACCTATACAGAGGATCCATTGCTTTTTGTGCATATTTTTCATTTAAACCAAAACAACTGCTCAACAACTTCAGATTGGTGCAAAACAACAACCTTGCTGAATTTTCGACTCAGTGGATACTATCAATTTGGATACTATAAAAAAAATGTGCCTGCGGGCACACCGTCTTAAACCTCCTTCTTTGATAGTTGCTCTTCCGAATGATACCATTTCAGGCAGAATTATTTCACAGGGTATTTGGTACCAGTCTTATCTTCTCTTTGAGCAAAGATTTTCTCATTAAATCGGTAGGTACGTTTCCGGGTAACTGCAAATGTTCTGATGTACCTTTAATTGATATACATTGTACATTCCAAATAAAAGCATACATGGAAAGATTCAGAGAGTCAATGCGCAAATATATGGTGTTTCAGAGATAGATTAACATTTAAATAAGCCAAGAAACAGTAATCTAAGACATGTACGTCACGTTAAATCTTCGTCCGAAGATTCTAGGCCAAGTAAGACAACCTTGTCTTGTTTGCAGTTTGTATCATCTAGGACTTTTCCCCATTTTAACTCAAACTGTAGAAGACAGCCGGCCATCTGATATCAGAATATCCCCCATCCTGGAGGGACAGATTTTATTTTTTAGGCCATGACGGAGGAAAAAAAACAATAAGGAGAAGAAGAAGAAGAAGATAAGACTGAACAGTGGGTTCTGTTAGTGTGCTGCGTGCATCTCGGATCTGATCTTGTGACCTGATTCGGTGCACTCTACTCTAATTACGTCGCTCGCTGTATGTACGCGAGGAGTGGAACAGCCATGATGCCTCGCTGGAACACATCACACTCATCATCACTCAAGCCCGTTTGCTTTCATTTCAGTGTGCCTAATACCTTCTGGGTCAACGAGTGTTTTCTTTTCTTTTTTTTCTTGGATAGCTGCTAAATGAAATGAGGAATCATATCGGGGTAATAATGAAAACCGGGATGATTGGTTTCTGACCAGATTCGGAGAGGCATGAAACAAGGAGGTCGTTTTGGTTCATGCATGCATGCATAATGCATACAAAGATAGGAAATGGGGATGAGGAGGAATGGGGGTCGGGGGAAAATGGGGGAGGGGGGGGGAGATTGAAGTGGTCTGCTGTAGATGAAGGACATGATACAAATCCTGTCTTTCAGTGGGTACAACATTGGTAACAGATTGGGAAGAAAATGAAATGTTTTTGTTTTGTTTTTTTCATGCTGAATTTATTTATAAAGGGGTACCAATATAACTGGTAACCCTTGAAATGTTTTTAGGTCATGCTTGGTGTCCTCCTTTTTTAAATATTCAAAGTCTGTCAAGAAAATATTGGCCTGCCAGTAAGGGGTATCAGGGATCCTTACAAAATAACCTACATGCATTTTCTTAGAATCTTTCTCCAAAAATTCAAAATATCTCTGCATCAACCTGGCATACATGTTTTTCGTAAAGAGTATGCAGCAAAAACTCCTCCTCTGGAAAACCCCCAAATTTTGGGTTCATTGACGTTTTAATTTCTACCAACAAAAATACTTCGCTAGCTTGGGGTTATTTGGCATTCAGAGCCCGACCAACGGTCAAGAGATGTCCTCGCGCTCGGATAACTGCCCACAGGTCAAACTCATTTGGGTCACTCTCCGGAGAAGTGTTGGCAGAGAGCTCCCAATCGTGATTAAATGATTAAAACCCCTATTATTTTTAGAATCTGTGATGGGCAAACCTGCCTTTTTTGCTTACTGTGATCTAGACTCTATCTGCTGGGCAAGTAGAGTTGACCGATTGTAATTGACCTAACCGCCCTGAGACCTTATGACATCACACTGTGCTTTGTACTGCCTCAAGCCAGGTGAGGACTTCCAGAAAGATTGTTGGTCTCCCCTGATGCGTGTTTTGCATTGGCAAACATTTCCACAGGGAAGCACCTGCCTTTCGCAGGCTGTTACCGATGAGGAAAGTGGGTGTTCCTAATAAGCACGTAGTAGAATTCCCGATTCTTACATGTTTTGAGAAGCTTTGAAAAGTATATCTTGGTTTGATTTTTTTTAAATTGCCACAATTCAAAATTTAACCTCTAAAATTCAGCAAAGTTTTGCTTTAAGAAACTCCTCAATATGTTCACCGAATCGAGGCCAAAACATGTAACCAATGAAATGTAAAGCAGCTTCTTTTATAAATATTCCAGGGCATTCCATTTTTTGTGCTACAATCGTAAGTTTTGCTGGGGAAACAAAAAGGATCAGGGGAATCCAATGTTTCACAGGAGAGATATAAGTCAGTCAGTATAAGTAAGTTGTTCTAAGCAGGATAACAAAGCTATATGCACTCATCAAAAGTGTAGGGAATTTCCAGCAGTTAAGATTTTTGAGGGTTTGCGCACTCCTTCTGAAGACGATCAGCACATACATGAAGTAACACGTTTTATAACCACCGGTTCTTCTCAGAACAATCTTACAAATAAAACAAAGGAGAAGATATTTTCTTGAAAACTTACGGAGGTGAAGACTTCCTGGGTCTCTTGCAGGAAGGAGATCCGTTTCCAGTTCCATTTTTGGCAAAGCTTGACCCGGGTGGGGTTGTGTACCGTGGCCGACGGGTGTGTCCGGAAAAAGGTGGGGAACCGCACCCGGTTGGAGAGGGCCGGGGAGCTGGACCCAAAGGCAATCTGGGGGGGGGGGGGGGTGAAAAGATGGGTGATGAATCAGTTGAAGAAAGTTGAGGTTTTAAACATTATAAGTTTATAAATACTGACAAAATATACAAGAGGATATACCCTCAAATGGCAGTATCACAGGGAGCAACTGCCTCCCCCTCCCTCTTACAAATACAAATGCATTACTGTAACGGCACCAGACTAACAGGCATGCAACTGCGAAGTAACAATAAATAAGAGAAAATTCCATGTTCTAGAAGTCTTTGTATAGGTCTTTAATTTTTTTTTTAGTGGCTGGCATGAGTGTAAAGTGAGAGACGAGGAAATCAGCTTATCCCAAGAATTGTTGCATGCTTGGTCCAAGAATATTCACTTAAATATTGATCTTTTTGCATTTTCCTGCTGATAACATAAAGCCTTTTCCTACATAGAGAAAGCAAAGTTGACATTTTGCTGTTATTTTCACAAAGGGGAATTTATTGTGGAAGAGAGATAGAAAATCAATCTTCATGACAACAGCGACGATATTTGTCCAAAATCTCCATAGTGACTAGCTAAGAAAAAAAAACGAGTCAGCAAAATAATTTGTGCATTTTGTGCACCACACCAAATGCTACGTCAACCCATATTGAATTCATCAACCTCAATTTTGCAAATAGTCCTCTTCAATAATCTTCAACACATTTAGGACAAACGTGGCGCAGTGGGGGCGGGCCAAGTTAATAACACACATCTGTGAGAATCTATGTGAAAAATACTGTGAGGTACAAATCAATTTAAGTGATGTCACAGAATACAATGCTTTTTTGAAACACGTTAAAAAAAAAAGCCGTAAAATGTTACTTAATAGCTTTTAACGTAATTTACAACAGAACATCTGCTGCACAGTTTACGTGTACTTTGTACAGAACCAAAAGTAATTGTAAGGCGCGTACCAGCTGGAGAGCAAACAATATAAAGAAAGCACGTGAGTCAATGTTGCGATAATGTGTTCCCTGCAGATCAATATGGGCTACCGCTAATGAAATACATCGAAGACGTTCATTGATGTGGAGTTAATTTGCAGACACATTAACCCTCATTTGGAATTAACATTTTACGGGACATCAATACCGGTACTTATAGCACGTCTGAAGTGATCTACTTAATTTTTTTTTTTATTCTTAATATCTTAATATTTAATATGGACCATTAACATGCCATATGCCAATCCATCATGGTGTTTTTTATTTCAAGTGTGCAAATAGGGTGACACTCTGAATCGAGAAATTGGGTCAGGTTTTGTTTTTATTCTGTCGAATGATTTATCGGAATGTGGTGGGGTTTATAGGATGGTGCACGAAAGCACTGATGTCCAGGGTTATGTCCAGGGTTGTGTCCAGGGTTGTGTCCAGGTTTTGCTCAAGGGAATCCATCCAGGGTACTGCACGGGGGAATTTGTACTGTGGACAATTCTGCGAGCCAGGAATTAATAAGGCTGTTTAGTAATTCATTTAAAAAGCTTTCAACATATTTATCTGGATGAATAATTCATAACTTTTGCGAACTGGTCGACGTCTGTGAGATATAAATTGATACTTGAACTTTATTCTTAAGAGATGGAAGTCGTATTTTATTTAAGCATCCAGGGCCCATGCTAAGCATTGATGACAATGATTGATACATTATGGATCATGGACTTCACCAGTTTCCAAAGCATTCCTAAATACTCTGGTATCCAGGCTATGCCACAACTGCTCCTCAGACCGGACTGCATACTGAGCTCCTATATGCTAGCCTGGTCGCCAGACTCAGGCACACAAAGTTGACTTACCACCATAAGATTCCACATTCTGGCTGCCTCGGCCACGGCCGACGATACGATACTGCAGGCGGTCAGCATGATGATCTTGATTGGCTCATGGTAGAGGAGGTTGTAGAAGATGTTGGAGCCAAGCCCTGGATTGCACTGAAAACAAAATTAAAGAAAAGATAGAAAACTATTTAATTTTGCAATAAAATATAAAAAAGTATCATTGTTTCTGACACTTGAGGACAATAGTTGCTCTAATCCATGATGCATAGGAGATAAAACAAATGAATCCACATAGTTGTGAATTTCTATATGCCCGAGGACAATGCTTTGTGTTCCCCTTTGTCCCTGTAATATACCACTCTCCCATAGACTAAGCACATAACCGTACGATCGAGGACCGTTTTCATTTAAAAGACCCAACACTCTGAAAGGATCTATTGTTCTCCCTTTATGTGTCTGTCCTCTATTGTAAAGCCATACATGTACATTAGCGCTTGTATTACATTGTACTACACTGTATATACTCTTTCATGAGTCCACAAAACCACAGCTTGCAGGGCAGTTTGGGGCAGTGTACTATAAGGAGTAACAGGCAGGGCGCTTTGGGTTGGTACACGGATTAATAGGTTAAAGAAAAAAATGACAAATAGTTGTAAGGCATCAGCGGATAAAGCTACATGTATAAATGGGTTCTATAACTTTACGGTCCAAAGTGAGACATTTTTGTTACCTCTGAACATTCTAATTTGCCATTAAGTATCATTAAGAATGACTTCAAACGATTGTTTTTTATTTGTTGGGTTTGTAGTTTACAATTCATAATCACTCTTGGAGAGCAACTGCATTGAGGAGTGCATTTAGAATTTACCAAAAATCATATGTAAAAAGTAGCGAAAAAAGTGGACCCTGCAATTTATAGAATGACACATGTGTGCTTGGCTGTCAATGAAAATAATAAATTAAATTTCAGTGACTGCTTCACTGGACCATCAAATTTCAGCACATCAATAATATTGGGACTAGGCTATTTTGAGAGAACCAAGATGGAGAACTAAAAAAAAGTCTAAGTTCAAGTCTAGTTTCAGTCCACTATATCCGCTCTTGAAATTGTAAGAGGCAAATTAAAGAACTGAACTTGAATCATCTCAAATCTCGATGGAGAAAAATCAGAACATGATGCACACATTACATGGCCCAAGTAAAAACAGTACTCCCTCCAGAACAGGGCTCGTTATGCCCCCAAATCCTCCGGACTTTGACAAGCATCTCCTTAATCCAAAGCTGGTCTCTAATCGCATCAAGCTCCTCTACTGAGGCAGGTGCCGGAGATAATAAGAGTTTTTTTCATGCTCCTTCACGGTTCCTTGCAATATCCTCTTGTTATTAGAATGTCTTGTCATTGAGGTGGTTGGGGGGGGGGGGGAGCCGTCTTAAAACCTGCCTCTCACCTGGCTGTTTGTCTCCCCCTCCCCCTCCTTTTTTTCTCATCACCAGCCCTGCCGAGGGAGTTGTTGTCTTTGGCAGACGGGCGGTCCAAGTACAGATGTGACAAGGGATTATTTAATTGAGGGACTCACTTCATCGTGTGTTTTGACTTGGACAAATTAAATTTCCCCCACCGGCATACCCAAGTCTACTTGCAGCCGAAAACTGCCAACGTCACATTTGGGGCAGAAAATAGTTCTGAGAAAAAGTCTCTTTACTGCGCTCAAAACTACTTTTAATTGCCATCTGTGTCCTACTTTCACATAATTTGATGAAGAACGTAGTCTGGTAACTTGTTAAAAAGTCTATTGCCATGTTTGTTCAGCAACGAGAAATTCCAGAATTGATTTTGTAGTCACTACAAAACTCTTATGGGCAATTCTAACAGAAATGTTCTCTGTTCAAAGTTAAGCTTTCTGACTACAGAGCAAACAATTTCAGATAATTTTAAAAATAAATCTACCCGTACACCATGGTTGTTTCATTGATACATTTAAACATACAGGTAAGTTCAAGTTGCACCTCATCGATAAAGTAACCACAACAAGATGAACAATCACTGCAAATCACCATGGCAACCTGAATGAGCACTCCTTATCAATGGCTCGGATATATCTCGTTTCCCATGACAAACTCAATCCCAAGAGAAAGAGAGAGGGGGGGGGGCAACCAATTGTAAGTCCGTTGCCAAGCAGGCACGCATGATCGCGTGATCCCAGATCGTATCGCTTCAAGATTGCCGCGGCATGTGTATATCCCACGAGTCCGCTCTCTTGCCTTGGCCCGCAATTCCCCCGCTTCCGGCCATGGGGAAAAAAAGTAGGAGAGAGCAAAACAGGTAACAGCATCTCTATTCAACCAACTGATTTATTAAGAGGCAATTTGGGAGGAGGGGAAAGAGAAAGAAACAGATCCCGGTCTTGTAAATCACATCCTCTTGTTTGGGAAAGACAGCATCGTCTGTTGCTGATTACCATTTATAGTCACTGAATTAGAGCAATTTAAGTGGGCAGAATGCGTCGGGATGAGAATCGGCATTCTTCAGCTGTGCTTTTATAGCTTGAAAAGTGTGGTAATGTGCGGTGATAAAAACCTGATGCTTTGCTGGCATGACTGCAGAGAATCATCACAATTTGGTGAATGTTCTGGAAACCTCACAGGAGGATTTGAACAAAAACTTTAAGAATGAGAAGGTCTTGAGGCTGAAATGTCAATCACCCGTTTAGAATCTCTGACCAACACTTTGCCAACTCCCTAAGCCCAACCTCACACGATCGCTCCTCCAACTTCTAAAAATTTTCCAACTTCTAAAAAAAAACAATATACACACACCATCAATTACTGAATGACTAGATATCAAATTTAAACTGAAATCTGTCTAACTTCAGAGAAGCTTTGTCATGAGTCCACTTAGATACGCTTGAGCCAATATCATTGCTAGGTTGCTTCCGTATTTTCTTTTTGTCAGTAAATTGTTATTAAAAGTTATCAACTGTTCGTGTCTGTGTTTAAATCTAACGTCATTATACAGTGTATGATTTGGCTTTAAGTCCTGCACTGTACTTTCTTTAGTTGTGCGACCGTTGTGAAGGGCAAAAAGGCATTCACCTCTTTCTCTTATTAAGAGTCCAATTAACCCTAATATTTCTCTTCGCAATCAATCACAGATTTCTGATACGTCACCTGAGGGTCCACGAGTACTTTTTTTCCTCCCAATAAATATAGGGACGCGCACGGCCGCGTGTGTATCTCTCGCTTCTGGGTTTGTCCCGTGCTGGTGTGGTGCTGCGCAATTACAAGCAATTAACGACAGCTGGGTCATGTGGCACGGCACCGGGCGAGGGGCTGGTCCCCGGTTAATCAGACAGCCGCAATATTGACATTGTTTCTGGTTTGATGAAAAAACTTGCCCGGGGACGAAAGCTGTTACAATGACTGGCAACTGCCAGTGGATAGAAACCAGTCCAGGGAACTGAAGATACGGAAAAAGTAGGAGGACACGTCCGACCGATTCAGAGAAAAACCTAAAGGAAGTAGGGCAAAGTTCCCAGGGGAATCTCTTGTATAAACAATACTTGTGCATCCTGCTTTCGACAAGTAGTCCGTTCGTATATATTTTTTTTACATCACCTCTGAGAATATTGAGCAGTAGGATAATAATCGTGGCAAGAGACTTTGAGAATTCTTGAGGGGAAGCTACTGGCTGGACAAGTAATAAATGTACCGCATCAGATGAAGTACTCGTCCCAAGTTTCTTTCCTGGGGCTAGAAGGAGGAGGGGGGGGGGGGGCGGAAGGTACAGCAGAAGGGACTTTAGTAAGAAAAACTCTCTCCAATCAAGGCAAATTACATAAGTCCAGCCCCACGCACACAACTAAAGCACAGGTGATAATATTGAGCGTCTCTCGAGCGTTATTCCTCGCGGCAATTCGTTTTATTGGACAGGCTCGATACAAGTCAAAGAAGAAAGAAAGAAAACAGCAAAGAAACTGAAATTTGTTTATCAAGGGAGTAAGAGACGGGAAAAAAATCTGCCCCAGGTGTTAATTGCGGAGGTTGCTTCTCTGCGGTCTTATAAAATAGACGAAGTGTAAGACATCATTTGTCTGGATAAACATAATTGCCTCTGAAGGAAACTCAACACTAAGTGTTGCAGTAAAACGAGATGGAGAAATTCCTTATCACATTCATTCAGTTGGCCGTACATGAATACATCCTCTCAAACATCACTACGTTGGAAAGAAGCTTTCAACATTCAAAGACATCTGAACCTCAACACTTTTGGGGAGCAAGTATGTATTTGGCATTGCAAAATCTGAAATTCAAGAACCTAACCTTATCTTTTACGAAGGCTAAATACAGGTGCCAAAAATCATGTTCTTTATACTTCAGTGAAGAGAGTCTTCGAGACTGAAGACCTGTCTAAATTTTCACTTGTAAATCTTTTTTTAACAACTTCACTGACATCTAACAAATAAATGCTTATTTGACATTCAGCGTTTCATATTTCTTTTAGAATCCAATACTCAAACCTACACAAAGATATCCGTACATATCTGTCAATAAATGTATGACCTCAAACATATGAAAACATTTTTTTCATCAACTTCAACTGGTCAATATTCTATCACATGAATCACGAAAGGAACGGCCTAAGCAAACAATACGTCTGTGCCAAAAGATGACAGCAAAAGTGGGGGGAAAAAAGGAAAAAACATCTGTATGAAAACACCCCCAAAAATCAATGATCATCGCAGTGATTATGTATTGTAATCAATGTCTGGTGTCTAAATAGCTTATTTTTAACCAAAAATCAGATTAACGGAGCCATCTCGGTAAATGTTAAAACAACTCCCATTGCAACCCGCTGTCAGCCCAGAAATTTGTTTTGAAAAGAAAATTTGATGGTTGGAAATTGGGTTTCGACTTGTGGGTGTTGTGCGAAATGACGCAGATGACATTTGTCAGTGAATAAAACAAACAAGTTTGGGGTTAAACCTGAGTGCTGTTCTGAAGTATTTATTCCAACTACAGTGCGTCCCATTTTATGAACTTGAAATTCAAACTGGTGTTATTGTAGAAATAAAATTTACTATACAAACGTTACACAGCAGACTAGATAGCATATACAAGATAACCTCAGTGCAGTTTAAATTATTACCCC